TTGTTTGGCTGGTCCGGGCTGGATTCGAACCTGCCACCTTAGGTGTATGTGGCTGGCACCTTAGCCGCTTGAGCCACAGGTGCCGGGCCTACATCTCATTTTCAATGTTAAAAAAGTTTCAGAATAAACTTAATGAATAAAATACTTTAAATGCTCCAGTAACTTGTTAATGGAATCACCATGTACCTCCTCCAATACATTTTAAATCACATTAGTTGCTTCTATAAATGTATTCTGCAGATAGTTTGTTCCTTCGAAAGAAGGCACATGAAAACATACGTCTGGGTGTGGTGGCTCATGCTGTAACTCCAGCATTTTGGGAGGCTGAGACAGTGTATCACTTGAGCCCATGAGTTGGAGATCAGCCTGAACAAGATCAAGACCCCGTTTCTAAAACTAGCCAGGCTTTGTGGCAGGCACCTGCAGTCCCAGTTACTTGGGAGGCTGTGGCAAGAAGATCACTTAAGCCTAAGAGTTTGAGGTTGCTGTGAGCTATGACACCACGTACTCTACCCAGAGAGACAAAGTGAGACTGTCTCAAATTAAAAAAAAAAAAGAAAAAAAGAAAAAGTATGGCTTTTGTTTTTCACAATTCTTTAAGTAATTTTATGTTTATCATAATTGTTTCTTCACAATTTTTTTAGGTTCATCCATTTTTTAAAAACTCCCTGTACAGAAAAAGACTAATTTTCTTTTCACTTTATTAATTAAGAGGCAGACAATAAAACTGCTTTTTGAGGCTTGGCACCTGTAGCTCAGCGGCTAGGGCGCCAGCCACATACACATACTCATACACCAGAGGTTCAGAAATTACAAAAGGTACAGGCTTTTATTGATAAGAAAACAAAGGTTTCTCTGTATTGCTGGCTATTCTGGAATTCCCTCTGTTATAAAGACCTTGGACTTTACTCATTCTGTCTTACCCCTGAGTTCATGTTTCTCCTTTATCTATTTAAATGAAAATGAGTTAGACTCACTAAGACCTAGAAAGATCTGGTAATCTTTTCAATCTAAATGTCCACTCATTCCACTACCCTGCCATTGTGTCTCACCTGGATTACGTTATTTTCCGAGCTTACCCTTTTCCATGTTAGATCAAAACTCACCAACTAGGTAAGGCCATTCAAGAATCCCTACCCCTTAAAAATGAGATTCATACACATTTCCACAGAACACAGACTAGTATTCCCTGCATTGTGCCATTTTTGTTACAAGGAAAAAGCCAAGTCAAGCCATTCTCCCCTTAATTGCCACCTTCAAGAGATGATCTTATAAAGGGGATATTAATTATTAAAACATGCTAATGTTATGTTAGTATATTACATATGTTAATGTTACATAAAAGTGATCCTGACACTGAGATCATGACAGTGGGGGGAAAGCTGGGGCTAAAGTTAGAATTCCATATACAGAGAAAAGCAGTCCAAAATATATCAATATATTGGTAATGGTAACCCCTTTTCCCTAAAGCACACTATGTTACTTACTTTCAAAGTAAAGATTCACAGTAGCATATAACAATTGATATAGTTTAATAACCTAAGCAAAGAGTTCAAGAGTTACTTTATTTCTGTACTGCAAAGCTAATAAAAACACTCCAATTTCTTTGCTATCCTATACTGTAATTATCTATTTTTTCTTTTCCTGGCATGAATACCTTGAGAGCAGGGATTTCATTTCAATGAACACAACCACACCACCAGTCAAAGCATCTTTGGGCCCTTAAAGCTAAATTGTCTAAAAACAAATCCTGGTGTGAGCCCCATAATATTCTTAAATAACAAATAAAATAAATAAATAAATCTTGGCTTGACTGCTACAGGTGTGAATTACATTTGCTTTTGTTTATTTATCTGTAAAAGGCGAGAAGGGTTGCATACCTGGTAAGAATGGTATACATAACAGCAATACTTGTACCTAGTAGCACTCATTAAATGCAATGGAGTTTATAATTAAACCCTACTCTCTTCTTTTCCTTCCATATCCAATCGCAAAACCTTATCAG